TGCACAAGCACGACATATTAGGCAAAACACTGAAACTGCCCAAATTGGCATCCTCTTCTTTCCTTTTCTACAGCTTTCTCCCAGGAAAACCTATTATTCAAATAAGACACAATGCCTTAAGGCTCCAATTTAAACCCTGCACAAGGCCCTGTCCTATATCTCCTGCTCCCAAGAGTTTCAAAACTTTCCTCTATCTCTACCAATTACAAGTCAAAACTCCCATTCTCATCTCAACTCAAAGTTCTGGAAGCAATATCTGATTCAGAGATTCTTAATCTTTGGGGCACAGATTTTTTTTTTTTTTTTTTTTTTAATGAAGACTCTCCTTGAGTGACTCACCAGAGTGAGTAGGGTAGGGAGACAGAGAAATTCTTTGTGTATATCAATCATTTGTAATTTGAAGAACATTGTATATCTATAAACCAAATTTTATATTTCATTTCCTAGGTCTTGCATAAGGAATATGTTTTAATTTCACATGAGAGAATCCTACAAAATATATTTTTAAAGAGTTTATAAACTTTTAAATCACTGGAAGGCTAGAAAAAATTTTATAAAACTTTTCCTATTTATGTGGAGTGAAATTCTTCAGCTAGTTTTAAAAAGATGAAAGTCCTGACATACTTGATAAATTATATCACTCACAAATCAGTAAGTCAGCAGATGGTGCTAATGAAGATTACAATGCTCCCAAATGTATCACTTTCTTAAATTCAGTGAACCATCTGGCAAATAGAAATCATTGGCTATAAATAGTATTGGCAAAATGCAAACAGGCCAGGGGAAATTCCTAATACGCATACGGTCAATAGCATGATGTCATATAAAAAGATGTGCTTTCTTTTATCTATTTTATAATAAGAAACCAGAAGTGCACTAGTGCATTATCTCTTGATAAGAATATGCAATTGCTGAGTGACCAAAAACTATTTAATGAAAACCAAACAGAAATTCCCAAATTTTATTACATGTAAAAATATATTCAAATACAAAAGCATACTTGAAAAAAATTAAGATTTCTGAATGGGCAAGGGTTTTTCCTCACTCCTCCCTTCCATCTCTTGTAATAAAAAGATTGTTTTTCTTTAAGTCTATTCTTTTTAAAACTCAAGATTCTGATTACAGAAATAATTCCACAAATTCATTTACCAAAAATTATTTAAAATTCTAATTCAAAGTGTAAATACTAGTGTTTCAAAGCTTCGTTATAATATCTAAATGAAAGCAGCATGTGTTAAATTTCTAGCTTAAATGAATAATCTTGTCACAAATTGATGATCTACAAGGGTTCCACAGAAATAGTTTTATATTTATAGATATACGCACGTGTGTACATATACATACACACACATGCAGACATACAAAGTTATGTGTCAAAAATATACACGCCTCCACTTATAGACATAGTTGCTGAGCTATGGCAGCTGTAAGAAAGCAAGAACATATTAGATCTATTCCATGATTCTCTCCTCCTAACCAGGTACATAATATATAGTATCCTCTTAACTATTTTTAGTTGCTGTGTACAAAGCACAAGAGTGGGGGAGAGAGAAGTGGATCATGGTATAGAATTAATAATAAAATCTTTTTCTATTTAGCATTCATCTAGTGAACCTGACACATTGCCCTTCATTATACAACAGCTTAAAATACTCTCCAAATATTTGTCTACTTATCTTGAATCAATAATCTTATCACTCAGATTAACCAACTCTTATATAATACTACAAAAAAGGTGATGTTAAGTAACTAGAAGCCCACCAGGGCATATGCAAATGTGTGTATAACATGAAACACACACACACGACTCAGTGTCTTACGTTTTAGCTATATTTTCCAGTTGAACATGGATATGCTGTATAATAAACAATAAAAATACAACTATCCTTCATGAACAATTTTAAGAAAGATGGGGATAACAACACAAAAGTGAAACATAATTGGTAGCTATTAGGTATACAAAATATCTAAAATTAGTTTGTTCTACTGATTTCATAATTGAATGGCATATACTATTAAGAGAACAGCAAAGGTGCAAAGATTAAAATTTAAACCCCCAATTAAGCAATAATTTGACAGTTCTAATGTCCTGTACCTGCTTGACACCATGACTCAATAGGCAACTCAAATGAAAATTAATACTGCATATAGTATGATCTTAGTTTTAGGTAACAACTGATCATGTTTAGAAAATGAAAACCTCAGGTGTTCCAAAACCATCAGTGCTCACCAAAAACAAAAACTTTTATACAGTTTTATTCATTCAAGAAACAGCAATTTGTAACAATAAAAAAAAGGTTCTGTGGATTCCCTTACAACATCTTGATTGCTGTCATTTGATCATAACACAACTGCAACCAACCTGGCTGCCATGTCCGTTTCTCTTCACGGGCTAGGTCTTTAATCATAAGTCAACTAAATGACTAATTTAACACTGTTAAAACTAGAAGAGTAGATGCTTGGAGCTATTTCAGTTTTTACATCTTTCAAAAGGTCAATACACCTACTCAAGAACACAATAGACAGATTTATCTTTCAAAATGCTTCCTTCTTTTCTAGGGCTAGAAAATAACAAGTTACCATTCAAATTTAAAGTGAACTTTAATAATTAAAGTGAATTTAGTAATGTTCATTACTTCAGAAATGGTGGCCTGCTAAAATAACAAAAGTTTTAGTCTTCCTCTTGTGGCCATAGTCACAAGCCTCTCCTCTCTTCTTTCCTGGCCATTTAAAATAGTTTTCTAGATCTAAGACACCCATGAAAATATTTATTACTGTTTCCTGCAGTCTTATTTGCTACAGTAACATTACACATTAATCTTAAAAAACAAAAACTTTTTCTTTTGCTAAAGGAGCAATTAATGTAAATGGAGCTTAGATGTAAACGTTCCCAAAAAACAAGATGCTAACACAAATTAAATGGACTTAGTAGTTAAAATGAATTTTAACTATTGACAGCTGCTTGCAGTGTTATAAATGATGAAAACCTAGTGTTCATATCCTTCATAATAAAAATTTATTCTGCTCTTTAATATAAAGGCTATGTTGCATAAACAGAGGATTTAAAGCTGTAGCAGAAGGGCTGAATGAAAGGAAAATGGCAATCTTTCTGGCTCCAGTAGATGCCATTCCCTATCACACAATGTTTCCCACTATAAATACATGACAAATACTTCCTCAATCATTTTTTACGAGCAGGGATGCACAGGGGGTAGTCAATGGCTAGCTTGAGGGAAAATAGGAACAGCAGGCGGCAGAAACTGTACAGAAAATGGCTATGTGGTAAATTCTCTTCTGGAACATCACTCAGTTACCCAGTCTTTGATCTTTCAGCTACAATTAAACTAACTTCCACAAGATCTGGATCCCACCCCAGTCCCCTCCAAAACACACACACACCAACCTCAAACCAGATCATTAGTTATACATAAAACCTATTAAAATTTGGTTTTATAAAATGAGATCATTCATACTTCTACATTGTTATAAATTAAAATTTGCTATTTAGAGAAGAGTTAATTTCAATTGGCTATAACCATATCATCATCACAACTGGTCTCACAAAAAGCATGGGGTGTCTGGCGACAGCTAAATCACAGACTGGCGTCTCCTAAGCAGTCTGTCTACCATTAGGGTCTGGAAAATGGTATTTACTATACAATTAGAGCCAGGGAGTTCTACCTGTAATCATCCAAATACAGGTGTGAGAAGCCCCTTTGGGCAAGGAAACTGACTCATCCTTTTTCATGTAAACTTTGATGTCTGTATTGTTTCAGCGAGCTTCAGGAAAACTTACCATTCATACTATGATGAGAAGATTTATTAACTGAGGTCAAGTAATAAATTAAAATTCCTTCCCAAAGGTAATAATTTTTAACACATTAATCACCAAATTTATAAGAATTTGAAAGAAGACAACTGATTATTTTAAAGTTAGTTACCTGCTGGAGGACACTGACCAGTCTGAAATACATTTTTATGTTAAATTTATGCTTTCTAGAATATTACCAATAAAGAGGTTAAATTCAGCTTCCTATCAGGAACACAAAATGTCTTATAGTAATATCAACAGGGCATTTTTAGTTGCAGTAATTTCACAGAATTTATTCTAATGATTTATTGGAGTTAACCATCTGACATTAATTATTGTTTTGGCTTCCAGTCTATGAATGTTTATTTTTCAGTTTAAAGCCTTCTCACTCTTTGATATCATATGGAAATGAGAATTTTTAATGGAAAATTGAAACCATGTGCATCTAAGTACTTAATGAAGTACAGGGAGAAACCGACAATATATTTTGGGAGAATTCAGATATTTTGCTTTGGATAGTTTTGATGTGTTTGTACGACTCAATAGTATAAAGTACTGAGAGACCAGTGAGGCAAGTCAAAGTGAGCACTACGCCAAATGTGTATATGCTACACATGTACACACACATTATTTTTTGAAGTTATTAGTGAAAGAAAACAAATCTTGTATATTTTAGTTACATGTCAAAAATGACAAGCAATACATAAGCACATAGGTTTTACCTCTGGATACTTTTAAAGTATTTGAAACAGGTATCTGGTCTTTTCCTGCACCACATTTTTTTTTAAGCATTCAATCTGAATTTTAAAATTTATGCCCAGCTACAACCACAAGTGAATACTTTCAAGTCATGTATAATATCAACACAGATAGAAATTCCCAGTTTAAAAAAGTTTCACTGCATTTATTCTCATTTTGCAATGGAAATAAAAATTGTCTAATAAACTTAAATCTGATAAGTAAATATGTATGATTCAATATTGCCTAATTTAATTCAGTTTTTAAGTTCTTTCAATGTAAATCAATTAGAAGACTCATTTCTGAAGGTAAACAGGCAAAACTTTCTCATTCATCTTAAACTTTTTAATGATAATGAGAAAAATATTAAAATCAAAGTAGCAGTAAGCATATATGTATTTGTGTGTACAGATATGATGTGTCTGAGAATGTTTGATGACAAAAAACTTACCATTTGTTTTTCTTTCTAATGTAGTCTTTTTCAGAAAGATTAACCAAGTAGACCATTGGTTTTGAAGTCAAAAATAAGTGTTTATTCAACACTTCAATCTAAAGTGGGAGATGAAGAAAGTAATATAGAGTAAATCATTGACAAATTTGAAAGTAAACTTTCTTTAAAACAAGTAGGCATTTTCATTTTTATAATTGTTTTCAAAAGATTTGTAGTTATGAAATACCATGAGAGGGAAAATTTTTAAAAAGTCTGAGAATAAGCAATCACTAACAGAAATAAAAGTTTAGATATAATATAATGATAATTATAAATAATGACAACTTGAATTTGTTCTAAGAAATAAAGGCAAAAGCAGTGATAGATGGCATGATATTTACAACTTACCTCTTTGTCATTCCAATCATGATAGAAGCGAACAGGTTTCTTTTGATCTATAACCCAGGATTTGACTTTACACATTATATCCTATACACGATTGAGAAAAAGGTAAATACAAGATGAACACTAAACATTTAGATATTAATATAAAAGTTTTCAAATCCCCAAATTAAAGATAAAAGTTTTTAATGAAAGGGGAACGAAGCCACACAAATAATTTTTTTCAATATCTCATTAAAAAATGAAATACTAATGAAGCATCGTTGTGACATTACATTTTTAATACATAAATGGAGAATATTAGAAAAATTAGTAACAGTCTGAAAAATGCCTAGCCAATTCAATCACGCCAAAGACTAAATGTAAAAGTTAATGTTATTTCAACATTACCTAGTGATACCACATGCAAGACAAACAAGCTATTAGAAAAATGGAGTGAGGGGATATATATACTGAAGAGAGACTGAATTACATTTTTTCCTTAAAAGAAAAACAAATAAACAAAATAGGCAAAATTGAGCCTATTATTGATGACCTGCCCTCCAAAATATTAAGTCAACTGACCAAAACGCTTTTTATTTTGAATTAATTTTTTGCCAACACCTTCTCCCTGCCCACATCTCCTGCAGCCGCCCCCCACTCCCCCCAACCTGCCAAAGCCTCCATTACACAATGGCAAGAGCCCTGCACTGGTGACCTCCAACCAGCTGCATTCACTTTCAGAACATCTCTCTCTGCTGGAAATCTAAAGGCCTTTTAGTTAGCAAGCTAGTGTGCATTCAGAAGGAGTAACTGCAGGAAGAGCCCAATGTGCTTTGTTTCTCTGGCCTTTCTTCACAGAAAGATTAATCATCTGTGAAATGGAAACGGCAAACAGCAAGTGACACAAACTGAACCCTTCAAGCCTTTCCTCATCAGTTTTGTGGTTCTGAATCTAAAAGCTGCGTGTGGCAAGGTTCTCCTTACAGGCAGGTGTTAATAAAAGGCTCTTAGGTCTGAAAGGTCAAACTTAGCTCTCCAGAAGAAGTGCATTTGAGAGTCATCTGTTGTGTGCATGTGTGTGTTGCTGGTTACTGATAATTTATGGATGTTTAAAATATGTATATGTATTTCTTAAAATTTACTGTAACACACAATTATTAGTAATAGATTTCTTGGATTTTCATCAATGTATTTTACATTGCCATAATCAATTATTCTTCTATAAATACCCATTTGTATAAATTATCTCAATAATTTAGTAAACCTTCCTTCCAAATCTTGCTGTTACCAACAGGAAAAATAAGGAAAAAGCTTTATATCCTTAGATCCTGATTTGAAACCCTCCAGGCAAAGGACTTCCCACAGATTTTAACAAGGAAGGGGCAAGCTGAAAACTTTTAATGAAATCTAACATGTTCTGCTTAAGAATAATCACTTTTACTCTTCTATAACTGAATTTCACTCATAAATGTTTAAAAGTGGCTAATGTAACACCATTTCCTACAAGGAGAAGATCAAAGTGCTATATTACAAATGCATTATGATTAAAAAAGCCCTGAGCAGCCTTGCTATTAACTGTTCTTTAAACCCTAAAAGGCTTCCCATAGATCTCACTTGGCACTGCATATACAACCTTTGACAAGTAATGTAGACCATTTTTATTCATTGCCTAAAATTGTAGGCAATTATGTGCGTCACACTGGCCACCTGCAAATTCTGAATGCCTGCTCTAGTTGTCAGTGCAAAAAACTAATGTCGGAGGGGATTAATCTAGGGGGAGAGAGTCCTCTTTAATGGCTCCAGCAGGTGAAATGGCCCAGCTGGTTACTATGATGAGTGGCCAGAACAGCTTATGTAGAGACATGCAACAAGATTATACAAAGGAAGAAAAAACAGTGGTACCATCTTATACTGGGTTCCATTAGTTTTTTTCAATTAAAGGAAGAAAATAGACAAAAGAAAAGACAAACACAAGGAAAGAAATTAAACTTTAATCATATAAAAAGTATAAAATACTTTTGTAACTATAAACATTTTTACAAAACCAAAAAGCCTCAATAAGTTCTGATCACTAGTGAAGGAATGTCAATATTTCTCTTTCATTTTAAATTAACTAGACCATTACTTCAGACATAGAAATCTTATCACAAGAGCATTTTGGTATTAGTTTGGCTTTTTCTTCTCCTCACACCAAAAAATTATATTACAAATTAGAAGCACTCAAATTTTAATTAAAGAGAATTAACTCACAATTAAAGTTATCAGACAGTATAGTATTCCTTAAAGCTATTACTTACAATCTTTTTAGGAAAATGTACAAATTATAACCTAGTTTTGGAACAGTTCAAAGTAAAATATTTTGTATCCAGTGCTCTTATAATTATCCCCACAAAAGACTTAACAGGCAAGAAAAAAACCTCTCACATATTCTAAAAGATTTAAGACAAACCAAAAATAGATTGTGTTCAGATAAGATTATCTTATACAAATGATCAGTATATGGCATAGTTTCAATATGCTCTTTTTCTTACATAAAGTAAAAATTAACTTTAATTTTAGCAAAAAATTAGAAGATATTGTATTCCTTACCTGAAAAACTTTTAAACAGAATAAAACATATGGACTTGTTTGGCCATAATACTGTACTTAATGGGTTGATTGAATTTATTTCCTTATACCCATATGTAAAAATACATATGTAAATAATGATGGTTACAATGATAAAAGGTTCCAGTTAACTTAATTTGGCTAACTAGAAAAAAAATACTTAACCCACTTTAACAAATTAGACTGTAAAAAAAAGAGAAATAACACTTTAATCCTTGATGCACTTAGAAGTTACTTTAGGATTTCACATTTCTTTACTATAATTATACAGAAATACAGATGTAGGAGTACTAAATTGGACTATCTTGATAACTTTAACAAATTCTTCATTTTAAAAATACATTCTGTACATCATTATGGAGGCACACAAAAATTCCTAGTCCTTTGAACTTTTTGGTTAGATTGTAGTTATGAGTATACTACTTTGAGAGGTAAAAGTGTAGGAATAAATCCTAGGTCTACATTTACCAGGTCTGTGGTCTACTTCATTGATAAGATGCAGGTGATGAGATCTACCTTTTATTGATTGTGATTGGTTGTTGTAAAGATCTAAAGAGATAATGTATTTTAGTGTTTAACACAGATGAGTGCTCAATAAATGTGAGTAGCTGTCATGGTTATATTGTTGAAAGATTAAATACCAGTCACCCACAAATGCCAAGATATTCTCTTGGATGCTCCTTTAAAGCACATGTACATCTTCTCCAATCTGTATAATTGTTCATTAGTCCTTTTCTTCACATTTCTGAGTTACTAAAAATACTGGCTTTCTTCATGAAGTCTCTGGTGAGACATCTAATCTTAACATTCTAGAAGAACTAGCCTTTGCCGAGCAACTACCTTTTTTTTTTCTTTTTTTTTGAGTTGGAGTCTCACTCTGTCACTCAGGCTGGAGTGCCGTGGCACACTTATAGTCACCCCAGCGTCGACCTGCCAGGCCCCGGGATCCTTCCAGGCCCCAGGATCCTTACACCTTAGCCTTCCAAGGAGCCCGAACTACAAATGCGTGCTAATTTATTTTTATTTTATTTATTTTATTTTATTTTTAGTTGGAGTCTCACTCAGTCACCCAGACTGGAGTGCAGTGGCCGCAGTCTCGACCTGCTGGTCTCCGGCGATCCTTTCACCTCAGCTTTCCAAGTAGCTGGAACTAGAGGCGTGTGCTACCACGCCTGGCTAATTTTTTTATTTATTTATTGTAGAGATGAGGTCTCGCCAAGTTGCCCAGCCGGGTCTCGAACCTGCAGGCTCAGGCAATCCACTCACCTCGGCCTCCCAAAGTGCTGGGATTACAGGTTGAACCACCGAGCCCGGCCTAATTTTTTATTTATTGTAGAGATAAGGTCTTGCCAAGTTGTCTGGGCTGGTCTCAAACCGGCGAGCTCAGGCAATCTACTCACCTCGGCCTCCCAAAGTGATGGATGACAGCAACTACCTTATAATAGCAAAGAACACAAACCCACCTTGAATACCTCACTCTTATATTTTGACTCTTCTTACATAGTTCCACATTTAATATTAAAATGTTCTATTTTCTTGGTGGATTTTATTATCGTTGTTAATGGCAACTGTAATGTATTTAGACTTGGGGAGTTACGTGTGACTTTCCTAAGTTTTCATAGCTAGTAAGAGGCAGTGATGAGATTCAAATTCAGGTCTAAGTGACTCAAAAGTTTCATTATACTGACCTATTTGTTTTCCCTACTGCTCCTTAAGACATCTCCAAGGTTGTTACTCAAAATCCTCATTCTCATTCAGGTCATCAGAGAAACTCAATATTATTATTTTATTATTGGGGTATAATACTTGATTGTCAATCCACGTGTCACAAAAACAGTAATATTTTTCTTTACACACAATAACATAACAATCTAATCATATACTAGACTTTCCCAAACCATGTACTAGACTTCCCTATCTTGGTATTCTTCAATTCCCCTAGCAAGACTTATTAACCTGTGACCCATAAACAAATTTCAGGGGTTCCTTAACACGCTGAAATGGTATGTAAAGCTGTTTGTGTGCCTTTGAGGGAAGATAGCACATATCTTTCAAATGCTTTTTTTTTTTTGAGTTGGAGTCTCACTCTGTCACCCAGACTGGAGTGCAGCCTCCGGCCACCGCAGCCTCGACCTGCTGGGCTCCAGCAATCCTTCCACCTCAGCCTTCCAAGCAGCCAGAACTATAGGCGCACGCTACCACGCCTGGCTAATTTTTGATTTATTGTAGAGATGAGGGCTCGCCAAGTTGCCCAGGTGGGTCTCGCACCCGCGGGCTCAGGCAATCCACTCACCTCAGCCTCCCAAGGGTGCGGGATTACAGGCTGAGGCACTGAGCCCGGCTTCAAATGCTTTTCAAAGGGATCCATGATCCAAAAAGACAAGAACCATGGTTGTTAGTGATTCTGTGGTAATACTCAAATGCCCCAACAACAGTCAATTAATTAAGTGTCCATAGACTCCCACACCAGAGGTTGAGACACTAATCCAAAACTTGTT